TTGTGAATCTAGCTTTATTGATTCTAGAAATCCAAGCATGTGACTAGAACCACCCTTGTGAAGCAATGTCAGAGACAAATTTTGTTTCAAGATGCAAAGACCGCCATCCTCCTCCTGGGAGAGAAATCACCCCGCATTTAAGGCTACACATAATACTTTGTTCTTGTTATCAGCACTAGTCTGTTAGTTATGCTCCATTTTAACTTCAGTTCCTCAAGAGATACTCATTTTTCTGCACTTATTTCCACAGTCAAGTGGACTCCCTGACTGACAAAGGCCAAGACTGACTCACAACAGGCTATCTGCCACTTGCATAAGCTCTTTCCCCTTTATAATTTCTTTAATGTTTATTTATTTTGAGATATAGAGAGCACGCCCACAAGCACAGGGGAGGGGGGGGCAGGGTTGGGTGACTGGAGCAGAGAGAGTGAGAGAGTGAGAGAGAGTGAGAATCCCAAGCAGGCTTCGTGCTGTCAGCACAGAGGCCAACACAGGGCTTGATCCCATGAACCGTTCATGACCTGAGCTGGAACCAAGAGTCAGACACCCAGGCGTCCCTCTTTTTTAGATGCATATGCTCAGCGAGGCCATCTTTAAATTCGATGTGATTTTACCTAGAAAAAAACAGAAGTGTGCTGTCCACTTTGTACCCCTGAAGTTTACTACAGATGAGCAAGAGCCCCATTCCTCAAGTGATAAGCTTTTCCTAGTGTTTACTTTGGTCCTTTGTTTTTCAAATCTCTGGGGCGGGTGGGGGGGGAGGATTAAAAGTTAGGTTATAGCACGACAGCTATAGCTACAATTATAGCTAATGCACCCCCAACCAATTTGTAAAACGATTTGCTACACCGTATTTATTTTTCCATACTCAACATTCACTGTGGAAGAGAAATTTGTAGGTGAAAGCTAATTTGTACAAGTTTCTGCACCTTCATAAAAAAACTGCAATACTGCACTGTAAAACCAATTTAACCAGTTAATCTTTAAAGGCATCATGCAAAAAAAGATCATCTGACTTTACAAAGGCACGAAAAAGCATCAAACCTCTGAAAGCTCCAAGAAACCGCAGTTATTTCTAGTCCTTACCCTAGAGTACCTTTTTCTTTGTGGCGTTGCCTATGTTTTTCTCCAAGGACATAATCACCATTTAAGAAGTAATCTGTCAAAAGTGTTAAAGCGTTCTCTCAACTACCTTCCCAGTTCCGAACCACAATGATAAATGTCACACATCCAAACTGTACCATTGCCATTTTCCTATATTTCTTCAAATGAACTTAAGGGTTTTGAAATGCACAATTCAAATTTTACACTACACCTCAAGCTACCATTGATCATCTCAAAGCTAATAAACAAAGACTCTAGCGGCGGCACCAGGGCCCTACCAGGAAGTAATCAAAGCAGTGTGGCTGGTGCGATCCTAAGTCGCTAGAGCAGACAATAAGAGGGCACTGGGGCTTCCAAAGAGCCCAACAGAAGGAGTTAAGATGCTTAAGTAACGCAAAAGCAGTACATAAACCTAATAACGGTCTTACAGCACATGAATTCGGGAATCCTAACGCAATTTCAGACAACCCAAAAGATATGAAAGGCAACTCGAGCCGCCCTTCCAAACCAGCTGCTGGCTCAGCCTCCGGAGCTTTTTAGCCCGCAGCCTGTCTTCAAACTTCACCCTTCACGTTTGATGAAAGACTCCAACCTCCGCCGCCTGAGTTCCGAGCGCCTCTCGGGGCTGAGGGCTCCCACCTGGCGTGGATCGAGTTGCCCGAGCCTGCCGGGAAGCGAAAGGAAGCCGGGCGGAGGAAGCGGCGAAGGGCCCCTGCGCGCCCCGCAGCCCAAACAAAGCTGCGCCCGGTGAGCGGCGCTTTTCTCGTGCGGTTGAGGAGGGACGCAACCCGGGCCCCACCACACGTGCGGCCGCCGCGTGGGGGCCGGACACCCGCCCCCACAGCCCCGGACCCGGCGATACGGGTGAGTACAGCCCCCCGGCAGGGCGGGGCGGGGGGCGAGCCGCGCGGGCCCGGGCCCCCGCCCGCCGCTGCCCCCACGCG